CAACTATCCCCTTCACCCCTCATCTATCCCCATTCGTTTCCCCCTTTATCTATCAATTTCCCTTATCATCTACTTTTCCCCCTATCCATCATTTTTAATCTTTATCAAAACCCCCTTTCTTTCTTCTTTCCTCATCATCTATCCCATTTTTTATTATCTTCTTTTTCCCCCCATCTATCCCCCTCCCCCAACCCCCCCGAAAAAAATTTTTTTTCTACCCCATCTATCTTCAAATCCCTTTTCCCTTTCACTTTTTCCCCCTCTTCTTCCCTCATCCCCCCAGTTTTTTTTCGACTCGACATCATCATCTCTATCTTTTTCCCCCCTTTTTTCCAATCCTTTTCCCCCCCTTTTGCCTTCCATATCATCATCTTCCTATTTTCATCCCCACCCCAAAGAAATCTTCCCCATCCCTTCTGCATCACCCCCAAATCCCCCTTTTTTTAAATTTTTTCCCCTCGTTCCCTTTTTGTCATACTTTATCATATCTCTTCTTTTCCCCTTTTGTCCACATTATCATCTATCAATCATCTATCTTTTTCACCTTCAACCCCCCCCCCTTTCTTATCTTCCCTTTCCCAATTTTTCCTATCACTCACCTTTCTTCTTCATCTTTTCTTTTCTTTCTTTCCCTTTTAAATATCCACTATCAAATTTTCTTTTTTCTTTTTTTTTCCTTTTTCGATCATCGCTCCCCTTTCCCCCTTTTTCTTTTCCCCCCCTCTTCCCCAATCCCATCCCCTTTTCTTCACTCTACTGTTTTCCCTCTATCTTCCCTTCCCACTTCTTTTCCCTTCTTTTTATCCACTTCCTTCTATCTCCATTCTGTTTTCCGTTTTAATCTTCATCATCTTCCTTCTTTCTTTTCATCGTCTTCCCCCCCTTCTGTTTTAAAATCCGGCTCCATTACTTTTCCTCTTTCCCCTTCAATTTTTCCACTTTTTCTCTTCTATCTTCTCTTTTTTCCCCTTCTTCGAAATCTATCTCTTCTTTTTCTTCATCTATCCATCTTCACCCCCTTTCTTTCTTTTTCCCCTTCCCATATCCCCTCTTTTTTCCCCCCCCCCCTTTTTAAATATTTTTCCCCTTCCCTCTTTTTCACCCACCCAAACCCCCTTTTTCTTTTTCTTCATCGCCTTCGCTCTTCTTCTACTTTTTTTCTTCATCTATCCCCCCTGCCCTTTTCCCTCTATCACTCCCCCCCCCTTTTAATCCCCCCCAATTTTTTTTTCCCCCCCTCTCCCCCCCTTTTTATCCCCCCCCCCTTTACTTCTTCTTTTTTTTCCCCTCTTCCCCTTCTGGTTTTTTTTCCCACCTCCTTTTTTTCCCTTCATCTTCCTTCTAATTCGCCCCTCCCCGCCCCCCCTTTTATCCCCCTTCCCCCAAATTCTTTTTCTTTCAGATCCCGACTCCTTTTTCTCTTCCCCTTATCCTTTTTTTCCCCTTTCCCCCCCCTTTTTTCATCTTTCCCCCACCCAATCCCTTTCCCCCCATCTTTTTTCTTCCTTTTTTTTTTTCCCCCTTTTAAATTTCTTCTTTTTCCTTTCATCCCCTTTTTCCCCCTAACCCATCCCCCCTGTTTTTTTCCCCCCTTTTTTTTAATCATCCTTTTTTTCCCCCCCCCCCCTGTTCCCCCCCACCTTTTTCCCATCCCCTCCCCCTTCCTTCTTTCCCCCTCTTCTTCTTCAATTTCCTTTTTTTCCTTTTCCTTTCCCCCTTTTCCCCCCCTTTTATCTCCCTTTAAGGGCCCCTGTTTTTCCCGCCTTTTTCCCCCCTTTTCCCCCTTTCTTTAAACCCTCTTCCTCTTCATCTTTTTCTTAAAACCCCCGCCCCTTTTTTTCCCTCTTTTTTTCCCAATTTCTTTTTTTCCCCCCCCTTTTTTCGCCCCTTCCCCCTTTTTTTCTTCTTTTTCCCTTTTTTAAAAATTTTTTTCATTTATCCCCCCCCCTTTTCTTCCATTTCCCATTAAGAACCAATCAATCAATAAGACTCTGTCAGCAGTAAGATTTTTTTTTTCCTTAACTGTTTGGAAAACGAAATAGTTTGGCTCGATCTTAAAATGAATATTTATAAATAGCTTCAAGCGAATGAATCCTGTAGGTCTTTGAGAGGACTATCAGATCTCGCGAACTGACGCTACAGAATCACAAATTGAGGATTTGAACAACGACTACAATTAAATGCGTAGCACATGTCACTCTAGAGAATATATACACCAGCCCGATCGCGAGGGAATAAAGAAAATCGTAACTCCAGTAGCGCTGGCGTACGGTCAAGGGAACGCAAATGTTTCATTATAAAGGCAACAACTAATATTGCCATTAGAGATGGTTAGAACAGACACTACACTTTGATCCCAACCGGATGGCGAGGAAATAAAGAAACCGTAACACTAGTAGCGCTGGCTGTTCAGTCAAGGAATGTCGAATGTTTCCTTATAAGGAAGTAACTAATATTACTATTAACATTAGAGATTAGAACAGATACTACACTGAGCATTTTTTTCTGCCTCACTCAGGCAGCACGAGTTATAAGGGAAACGACTAATGTTAAGATTATCATTAGAGATTAGAACATATTAGAATACTTGTTAGTTACCCGTCAACCCCCCACAGTTACAAAATTGCACAAGGCCAACATTTGCCCGGTCCCCCACAACCAACGTCGCCCTGACGTCGATATTCCACTGAACTTCCTCCTTGCTTCAATGAGAGGTGCTGCTACAGGTTTGAAATCCCTGGAACAAGCATCCTCAATTATCTTTGTGTTCTGTCCGAAGAGATAATATCGTAGTCGATAAATAAATGCAGTTTATCTGCCCGAAGACAGATACTACACCTTGATCCCATCCCGATAGCCAGGGAGTGAAAAAATCTTAACTCGAGTAGCGCTGGCTGTTCGGTCAAGGAATGCCGAATGTTTCCTTATAAGGAAGCAACTAATATTACTATTAACATTAGAGATTAGAACAGATACTACACTGAGCATTTACTTTTCGCCTCACTCTGGCAGCACGTGACACAAGGTTGGAGGCCCAAATGTGTGCACCGGGCCAGGTGCAAAAATAGCTCAGCCCCGCAGCCGTCGCTTTGCTTTTTGGCATCGGTATGACTACCACCCTCCGTTTTAGTGCAAAGAAGGAGGTACTATCACTGGCAAGTGTTCTCCAGGACCGAGTACCCTCAATAATATTTTCAGTGGCGCTTAGAAACTTCCATCTTCTTCCTTCCCAGTCAA